TAGGAGTGCTATTTCCTAAAACAGTATGACCAGAGATTTAGGAATGATGGTGAATATTTACATGAATGAGAAGATAGATCAAAGGGGCAGTTATCTTACAGAAATACTGCAACCCATTCTTGGAGAAACCATGGGCAAGTAAATATATCAAGTTTCCCTAATGGTTTGTCATTCTGCAGAGAGGGGAAGATGTGGAATTATATGTGCTGAGATCTAATGCAAGGATATACAATTGGCAATTGAATTGCCACTATTATTAGCTGTCAGTGGTGAGTCAGAACTCACAATCTACATATAAAGTAAATAGCACTTGGTAAGAATTATAAATTGGCAAGAATTATGAAGACTCAGTAACTTTCCGTATTCCATAGGTCAGGGTGGGGTAGAAAAGTAATATATTAGTATATTCCAAGGAAATAAACTAAGAATAGGGCCAGGTACAGTGACTCACACCTGTAATCCCAGCACTTTGGGAGGCCAAGGTAGGTGGATGACCTGAGGTCAGGAGTTCAAGATCAGCCTGACCAACTTGGTGAAACCCTGTCTCTACTAAAAATGCAAAATTAGCCAGGCATGGTGGCACATGCCTGTTATCCCAGCTACCCGGGAGGCTGACGCAGGATAATTGTTTGAACCTGGGAGGCAGAGGTTGTGGTGAGTCAAGATTACACCATTACACTCTAGCCTGGGCAACAAGAGCAAAAATTCATCTCAAAAAAAAAAAAAAGAAAATATTATATATAGTTTTATTAAATGTAGTGATGTTATATATAGTTTTGCAAAATGGAGAAACAGGGTAAAGGGCACACAGAACTTTTTTATTTCTTACAACTGTATATGCATCTGCAGTTATCTCAATTAAAATTTCCATTTAAAAAAGAGGGGGTAAGGTTTTAACTCCTAATATCAGAAGCATAATTTTCACATTATGTAGATTGCCAATGTGGCTTTACAAAGCACTGAAACATTTCTGAATAATGAGGAATGTGAGATTTAAACCTTGTGTTAGTTCTTTCTCATGCTGCTAACAAAGACGTACATGAGACTGGGTAATTTATAAAGGAAAGAGGTTTAACTGACTCACAGTTCAGCATGGCTGGGGAGGCCTTAGGAAACTTACAGTCAGGCAGAAGGGGAAGCAAATGTGTCCCTTTTCGTGTGATGGCAAGAAGAAGTGCTGAGCAAAATGGGGAAAAGCCCCTTATAAAACCATCAGATCTCATGAGAACTCACTATCAGAGAACAGCAGTATGGGGAAACTGCCCCATGATTTAATTACCTTCCACCAGGTCCCTCCCAAATGGGAGAATTTGACCAAAATGAAGGGGATACAGGTCCCATGTAAATCTGAAATCCAGTGGGGCAGTCAAATCTTAGAGCTGCAAAATGATTTCCTTTGACTCCATATCTAACATCCAGGTCACACTGATGCAAAAGGTGGGCTCCCACAGCCTTGGGCAGCTCCATCCCTGTGGCTTAGCAGTATTCAGCCCCCTCCTTGCTGCTTTCACAGTTGGCATTGTCTGTGGCTTTCACATGGTGTAAGCTGTCAGTCGATCTAAAATTCCAAGTTCTGGAGGATGGTGGCCCTCTTCTCACAGCTCCACTAGGCAGTGCACCAGTGGAGACCATGTGGAGGCTCCAAGCCCACATTTCACTTTCACACTGCCCTAGCAGAGGTTATCAATGATGCTTCTTCCCCTGCAGAAAACTTCTTCCTGGACCTCCAGGTATTTCCATACATCTTCTGAAATCTAGGCAGAGGTTCCCAAACCTTAATTCTTGATTTCTGTGCACCTGCAGCCTCAACACCAAATGGAAGCTGCCAAGGCTTGGGGCTTGCACCCTCTGAAGCCATGGCCCAAGCTACACCTTGGCCTTATTTAGCCACAGATAGGACACAAGACACCAAGTCCTGAGGCTACACAAAGCATCAAGACCCTAGGCCCAGCCCACAAAACCATTTTTTCCTCCTAGGCCACTGAGCCTGTGATGGAAGGGGCTGCTGTGAAGACCTCAGACATTTTCCCTATTGCCTTGACAAGTAGTATTTGGCTGCTGATTACTTATGTAAATTTCTGCAGCTGGCTTGAATTTCTCCTCAGAAAATGGGTTTTTCTTTTATATCACATCATCAGGCTGCACATTTTCCAAACATTTATACTCTGCTTTTCTTTTAAACATAAGTTCCAATTCAAACCACGTCTTTGTGAATGAATAAAACTGAGTGCTCTTAAGAGCACTCAAGTCACCCCTTGAACTCTTTGCTGCTTAGACATTTCTTCCACCAGATAACCTAAATCATCTCTCTTGAGATCAGAGTTCCACAAATCTCTAGGGCAGGGGCAAATGCCACCAGTCTCTTTGCTGAAGCATAGCAAAAGTCACCCTTATTCCAGTTCCCAGCAACCTAATCATCTCCATCTGAGACCATCCCAGCCTAGGCTTCATTGTTCCTAACACTATCAGCACAACACTTGGGTCAAAGCCATTCAACAAGTCTCTAGAAAGTTACAAACTTTCCCACATCTTCCTGTCTTCTGAGTCTTCCAAATTGTTCTAACTTCTGCCTGTTACCCAATTCCAAAGTCACATCTACATTTTTGTATATCTCTGTGGCAGCACCCCACTTCTGGTACTGATTTACTGTATTAGTTCCTTCTCATACTGCTAATAAAGACATACCCAAGACTGAGTAATTTATAAAGGAAAGAAGTTTAATTGACTCACAGTTCAGCACGGCTAGAGAGGCCTCAGGAAACTTAACATTCAGGCAGAACGGGAAGCAAACAAATCCTTCTTCATATGATGGCAAGAAGGAGAAGTGCCAAGCAAAAAGTCAAAAAGCCCCTTATAAAACCATCAGATCTCATGAGAACTCACTGACTATCATGAGAACAGCACCCTGGGAGTAATCACCCCATGATTCAATTACTTTCCACCAAGTCCATCCCACAACACATGGGGATTATGGAAATTGTACTTCAAGGTAAGACTTGGGTGGGGACACAACCAAACTATATCAAACCTTAAAAAAAGATAATGAATGAAGAAATTTTAATCTGTTACACATGAATGTGAAGTTTACAACATACTGAGTCTCAGATGTGCTGAACTTGTTAGTCAATATTATAGTCAAGTTGGAAAAATAAAAGATTACTAATGGTTGAATCCAGTACCTTTGTTTTCCGGAGGTATAGTTATAAAGATTTTAGTAAATAAATTCATGTTGAAAATAGAGTTTCAGATAGAGGATAAATTATTTGGTGTTTCATAGTCACAAGAATGACTACATTGAAATCATGCCGTTCTCCCATGATTTAATAATACTATGAATATTCTGACACTGGTTCCTATCTAACAAAATTTCACGTTTCTGTTTGATAATGACCTCATAAATATCTTATGAAATCCGTTTTGTTAATGAGGCTACTTCCATTTCATAAATTTATTATTTTTGTAGATACCCCTGTGTGGTTTTAATTGCACATAATAGCATATATGAAGAGTATTACTTACTTTTTAGATTGACAAAGCTGAATCAATATTTTGTGTTCAATTGAATGCATCATTAATAAGAACTACTTCAGGGACTTATTGTTATCTTTCAGGAAAACTATACCCAAAAGACTGTAACAGTCAAGTAGCTCAGATAATTGTGTGATGCATTTTTTAAATGATCAGAGAATATAATTTAATAATTTTTTGTTCTCCTATTTATGTAGAGTACTGAGACTCTATATAAGTTCCATAAAAATCCCAGCCAACAGATCAAGGGATGCATGACAGATCCGAGCCATCTGTTACCTTCCCAAATTGCAAATATATAATATCTTAGCAAATATTTAATGTTATTCAGATTCTTCTTTTGGTTAAACAGTTGAACTAAAAAATAATAATACTTTTTTCAAAACCTTGCCTGACACTATAAAGGAAATTCTATTTTTCAGAAATATTCATAAGTCATCTATTGACTTCATATATATATTTATAAATATACAAACACACTCCCTCCACACTATGTACTGATCCAATCATTTTTTCAGAAGATAACTTTTATTATATTTATTAAATATACATTTACTTCTCTGTTACAGAAACTTAGAAGAGTTTATCTTTGTCATTCATCCCTATTGACATATGATTTCCCAAACAGAACATGAAATAAGTACTGTGTCTGTCATAATCGTGAATTTAAGGAATTATATTACTAACAATTTAAATAGAAATATAATGTTGAAGTATATATATGAATATATGTCCATAATATTTTATAATAACCTAAAGCGTGCTTGGTTTAAAAGCAGAAATTATCATATTTGAATTTTTAAATTATTGCATAGTTGTTCATTTTGTAGTTATAGAATAGCTGTTATTTGGTAAGTTATATGTCTGTAAGCATATTTTTGTCTCGAGGATAGATTTGGTTTTATAATGTTTAAATACTTTGAACATTCTCTTTTATATCTCTACAATATGTGTTCACATGTTGTATCTATGGCAAGTATAATAACAAACATTTTGATCACTACTCTTCCAGCTATTATCATTACTGAGAAAGTTAAGTTAGGTCATATCTAACTTTATAATTTGAAAGAAAATATCTATTGAATGACTGCATACTATTTGGAAGAGCCTTTGAAACTTTTCAGGTACATTAAGAGTTCTTGATCAATGTTTCTCGAACTCCAGTGTGCATAGGATCCACCCATTTCACCCATTGTGAAAATGCAGATACCTGTTCAGTAGGTCTGAAACTGCATTTCCCAGCAATGCCAGTGCTTCTGTTCCACTGACCTCCCTGAGTAGCATGGTTCTACATGTTAATGGTGTATATTATAATCCAAATGAATGAAATGTCAAGGACAAAGAGTGAAGTCAAATACATCTATCAGAGCTCTCTTAATTTTGTATTTAGAACCTCAAGTGAGTGGTCTGCATTTCTCAATTTCGTTGGAATTTATGATTGCTTCATTTCCTATTTAATGCATTTTGTTTAGCTCCTTTGACAGCAAGTTTGTTTACCAGCAAAGAGGACTCGGACCAATTGAAGAAGACACTATACTTGTCATAGATCCAAATAATGCTGCAGTACTTCAGTCCAGTGGAAAAAATCTGTGAGTTAAACAACTTGTGTTGTTAAGACTTGTACTACATATATTGAGTATAAAGTGTATCACAGAGTCTTGAAATTTGAGTGCATTGTATAGCTGCACTTAAGAAATCAGAAAACTAATTGAGCCATCCCATTTTTCATTTTCTAAATAGGTGTTTCTAAATCTTGACTGAATATTAGAATCATCTGGGAAACTTCAAAAAATTAGATTAATTTATCTGTTGGCCATTTGTGTGTTTTCTTTTGAGAACTGTCTATTCAGGTCCTTGTCTATTTCATAATTGCTAAATGAGCATATTTGAAATGTTCTCGTTTCAAAAAATTTAAGTATTTGAGGCAATGAATATGTTCATTAGCTTGATTTAATCATGCCACATTGTGTATATATATGTGTGTGTGTGTGTGTGTGTGTGTGTGTATATATATATATATATATATATATCTTAACATCACATTGTACCCCATAAATGTATACAATTAAAATTTGTCAATTTGTTATTTAAAAATTTAGATTCAGATTTTGTATATGGTGGGGCTAATACTCTTAAGTTCCCAGGCAATTTTAATATGTGGTATTAAAACTTGTTGCATATTACATATGTAATATATATCTTACCTAGTTGATTGAGTTGCTGCTCAGCCAGATCTAATGATCCAAACAATTATTCAGCAGAAAAAGGCTTCAGGGCAACCAAAATCATCAAGAATCATTATTAAGAAAAAGAGCTCCTCTTTCCCATCTCAAAATGAATACTAAACAAATGTCATTTTTAGCATTCCTTATCATGCATGTGTAATTTGGCTTTGAAAGCTGCTGATTAGTTAGTCTTATATTGAGATGGCATTTGGCAGCCAAAAAAAAAAAAAAAATTGGCTGGTATTTGTGGTCATTGAAAGAAGTGAGAGAGGCACCTGCTTACAGATCTCCTGAACCCATTGTAACCTGACAGCTTCAGGAACTATATCCTTCTCCATCTGCTTAAGCACAGGGAAAGCCAGCTTCCTCACAAGGTGAGTAGCCACTATTTTGAGTGCAGCTGCTTGTGGAGATGATAGTAATGATGCTTAAAATATTTTAACAGCATTTTCAACTTGGTGTGTCAGGGGTGAAATGTTTGAACCTGTTTCATTGGTGCTCTACTCATTAACCAGAAGTACCATCATTCTAGAAAGGAATTAAGTGGAAGGCAGAACAACTACTGCTAAATCAACTTGGCCATCGGTGGAGCATCTGTTTGAAAGCAAATCACAATCCTCATACAAAAATTAGCTGGGCATGATGGTGCGTGCCTGTAGTCCCAGCTACTCGGGAGGCTGAGGCAGGAGACTTGCTTGAACTCAGGAGGCAGAGGTTGCAGTGAGCCGAGATCGTGCCATTGCACTCCAGTCTGGGCAACAACAGTGAAACTCCCGTCTCAAAAAAAAAAAAAAAAAAAAAAATCACAATCCTCACATTCTATTGTCAAAACAGGGATCTAGTTCAGCTAATTAGTCAAAATCAGAGTGTTACAGTAGGACTTATGAAACAAAATCTGTGTTGTCAGCACTATGCTAAGATTAGAAGCTAACAGAGCTATTGGATTGTCAGATGTCATTGGACCAAACCACCTCAACGTATTGTCCGTGTGTCTGTTAGCCCAGTCCAAGTTCCTTACCCAGAGCATTAAGATTGATTTGCCAGATTAACCTTCTCTAATATTTATCCAGCTCACTATTTCACTTTGCTTAGATATTCACAGCCCATGTTGGCTTAAAGTTATGTGCTTTGGGTTTTACTGTCTTTAACAGGCACGCTTTAAAGCCTTTGAGTTATATATTTAATAGTTTATGTTAACACATTACATTTCCTTGCAACATATTTTAACCTCAAACTATAAAAATCCATTTATATTTCTTAAGATAGTTTTATACATATTTGTAAGATGTTAATATTTATGATCTTAGAACTTGTTTTTAAGTTGATATTGTTTAATATACCATACTTTATAATAAACATTTGTAATGTATATGTTGGCTTAATTTATAAATTTTAATACTATTAAATACTACTTAAGGTTTGTCACAAAGAGGTCTATTGTAACAGTATTTTTATTAACAATTCATGTTAGTCTTTTCTATAATAATACAAGTATACATTTATCAACTTATAACTTTGTAGTGCCTTTACAGATTAATTAGAAAAATTTCCCTCACATATGCTTTGAGAGTAAATATGTAATTAACACAAATATTTTTATTTCGCAGGTTTTATTTGCCACATGGCTTGAGTATAGATAAAGATGGGAATTATTGGGTCACAGACGTGGCTCTCCATCAGGTAGTCTTCCTTTTGGTAATATTCAAATTAGAAGCTAACAGACTTATGCTTTTGAAGTGCTCTGGAGTTGTACGGGTTGTGTGTGTGTGTGTGTGTGTGTGTGTGTGTGTGTGTGTGTCTCAATAAGTTTATAGCAAGAAAATAGAGCAGCCATGTCTTAGTTCAGCCTGTTATAATAAAGTACCATAGACTGGGTAGCTTATAAACAACAGAAATTTGTTTCTGACGGTTTTGGAGTCTGGAAGTTCAAAAACAGGGTGCCAGCACAGTTGAGTTCTAGTGAGAGCCCTCTTCTGGGTTATAGGCTGCTAATTTCTCATAGTATCCTTGCATGGCCAAAGAGACAGAGTGACAGTAATCTCTGGTGTCTCTTCTTATGGTACTAATCCCATTCGTGAGAACTCTACCCTTTTGTCCTGATTACCTCCCAAAGGCACCACTTCGTATTACCATCGTATTGGGGGTTAGGATTTCAACATGTGAATTTGAATTTGAGACATAAACATTCAGTCCATAACAATCCACATCTGAAATATTTCTTTTAGAACTCAATGCTAGGTACAGGTAGAATGTAAATGACGAAGTCATACTTGTCCCTTGAGCCAGATGTGAAGCTTCACTCACATAACTACATGGGCCCTCCCAACCATTTTCTTAACTTTCTATATTTGCTTTTATTCCCTCTGTTCCTAACTCTGTTGTTGTTGTTGTTGTTGTTGTTGTTTGAGACAGGGTCTTACTCTGTCTCCCAGGCTGGAGTGCAGTGGCACGATCTTGGCTCACTACAGTCTCCATTTCCCAGAAGATCAGCTCAGCCTGCCAAGTAGCTGGGACCACAGTCACATATCGGCATATTTGACTAATTTTTAAAATTTTTTTGTAGAGATAGGATTTCACCATTTTGCCCAGGCTGGTCTTGAACTCCTGGACTCACGCAATCCACTCACCTCAGCCTTGCAAAGCGCTGTAATTAGGTGTGGCCGTCGTGCCTGGCCCTGAGTCTTATTTCTATTTTTTCACTTATGTTTTTATGATTTTTTTTCTTATCCTATCTTAATCTTCTATAAATTGAGGCTACGTCTCTAGTAAATGTATGTGTATACATATATATATATATATATATACAGTCAAATCGATGTTCTTTTTAAAAGAAGTTATATCAAGTATAATATACTTTTTATGAATAGGTGGCAAATAACTTGGAGAACCAGGGGAAACCATTTATTGCTCATGTGTTATCTGGAGAGTGTTGTAGTATTAGCTAAGGAAAGACAAAAAGGAAACATCGGGATGCACGGAACTGGATATCCATATACTAGTCTCCATTCACCACTAATTAACCAGGTGACCTTGAGCAAATCACTTAATCTCCATAGGCCTTATTATCAAATGAAGGAACCAGACCAGATGATTTCTAGGATTCCATTCAGTTCTAAAATGTACTAATATTTTCTTTTAGGTAAGTCTCTGGGAGCTTCTACTCCAATTGCTTGTGAAAGTGGTCTTAGTCATTTGGGTGTAAGTCACTAATAACCATGAAAAGTAGGGTAAGGCTTTTGTTCCTTTTTTAAAAGGTGTTCAAACTGGCTCCAAACAATAAGGAAGGCCCTATATTAATCCTGGGAAGGAGCATGCAACCAGGGAGTGACCAGAATCACTTCTGTCAACCCACTGATGTGGCTGTGGATCCAGGCACTGGAGCCATTTATGTATCAGATGGTTACTGCAACAGCCGGATTGTGCAGTTTTCACCAAGTGGAAAGTTCATCACACAGTGGGGAGAAGGTACCCATTAAGACTCTTAATCTCCAGTTGTAATTCTTAGCCAGTATCATTGGGAACTAGATATTGGCCACCACTCACAGTCTTTGAGATATAATTGTCCGCTACAGTGAAAAAAAGCAGGGTCATTGTATGCATCCAGTTAGCTTGTCTCTCTCTCTCTCTCTCTCTCTCTCTCTCACACACACACACACACACACACACACACACACACACACACACACACACACACACACACACATCTTATAAGGAAAACAACTGTCCAAATAGGGAGAAAATCTGTAATGTATTTATTATAAAATAAACTTATAAACTGCTTTACCTTATCTTTCCCCTGGCTCCAGGGAGTTAATGGTTTACCAACATCAATTTAGAAAAGTACTATAGAGTCAAACTTTGGGTGATTTTTAAAATTGTGTATCTAAGACTTTTCTTTGTTCTGCAGAGTCTTCAGGGAGCAGTCCTCAGCCAGGCCAGTTCAGTGTTCCTCATAGCTTGGCCCTTGTGCCTCATTTGGACCAATTATGTGTGGCAGACCGGGAAAATGGTCGGATCCAGTGTTTTAAAACTGACACCAAAGAATTTGTGAGAGAGATTAAGCATTCATCATTTGGAAGAAATATATTTGCAATTTCATACATACCAGGTATTTCATCTTAATATGTTTGTTGTCTTCTGTCGTACTCTATTCTGTCCTTAAAAATAGTTTTATCTTAATGTGCTCTTTTTATAAGTTTTCTTTCTTGTTAGGAGTTAAAGATGCATTATATTTCAGATCTCAAAGTGTCTTAAAACTGTTAGTGTGTTCTAACTGAGTTTTGATTCAAGTACTACTATTCATTTTACAGAAACAGTGAAGAGCTCAAAGGATTTAACAGCTGTTTGTAAGGGGTTAAAACTGTTCCCAAACATTGATTTTCATTTTCTTTTCATTATGATCATCTCCTCTAGTATTGAATAATTAATATTTGTCTTCACACATCAACAGATGGTATATGTCTGATGAAAATCAGTATTCAAAATACTCGTTTCACATTTTTAAAAACAGTAGTGACCAATATTTTAAAAGATAAAATGTGTAAAAATAAGTGAGGCTTATGCCTAAATACCAAGATAAATAATCAATAAAATCCTGAATTTTTTTCTCATTTTCAAAATAGATTTTCTTGACTCTAAGAAAATCTGAAAAATAATTCAGACTAATAAAATAAAATACATATAATTTATATTGCAAAACAACTTACTGCATTTAAATAATGAACTACTGAAAATATATTTAATTTCTGAAATTTACATACAATTATTACAATGTTTGTTAAATTGTAATTGAAATAATTGTATATATCTGTGGAGTCTAATGTGATGATTTATGTTTACAATATGGAATGACTAAGTAAGGCTAGTTAGCAAACCCATCACCTCACATACTTATCATGATTTATGGTAAAAACATTTAAACCCTTTTCACATTGGAGTGAAATAAGGTCAATAATATGAAGAATTATTGAAAAATTCATGGGGATAATATATTTTAATAAAAATATCTATACCTGTATTAAAGTAGCATTAACTATAGGGATTACTGTAATATTTATGTTTTTTATGGTATTAAAGCTGCATGTGGCTACTATCTGGACCAAGCAGCCCCCAACTTATTTAGGGCATAAAATAAAGGGACACAGGTGATTGGATAGAGAGCAAATGTGGCTTCCTTAAGGAATTAAGAATAAGTAGTAAGAGGGTCTCAACTATTGGTCCTTATGTTGGTTTTCCACACATTTAAAGAAAAATTTGTCAGGACCATTTACTTAATAAAGAGGGTGATCAAGTTCATAATAAACAAAAATAAATTAAATATAAGAAGAAAAATGTTCGTTGAGAAGGAATCTGGTTAAGAACAGAATCTAAGCAAAAGATAATTTTCTCTATAATTTTCCACAATAGATTGAAGTTTATAGTGTTGTTTATAGTACATCCTAGAAAAAAACTATAATCCTTCAAGAGTGATGAAAATATCTTCAACAGTGGCTTAGCATTAAGTATATTTTATTATTTTTTAATTCTTTGAAAATGTAGTGTTCAATAATCTGAATTATTTATTTAATGTAAATATCACCATTTTCATTGTTTTGAATAAACAGTATTGTGTTAAGAAATATAATTTTACTACAAAGAGTGTTCATGGCATGAAAATTAAAAAGATGGTCTTTTTTAATTAAGGAAAAAATATGTCTTTGATAATCTGAAATATACATCTAATGTTTTCAAATTATAGTTGTTTAAAATCAGATTGTTCTATATATTCCTATAATTTCACTTATTTTCTTTGATTTTCTCTCAGATTCTCCATGCAGCTATGGAAAATATTACTGATTTTTTAAAAGATCTGAGACTTGGGAATTATTGGCCTAAATAACCTGACTTTCCCCAATTCTTATTTAGGATGCCTGTAATAGCAATATGTATGTACATCTATATATCAGTATCTATGTATTCTTGATTTCTACTCTTTCCAAGTAGAACAGACATTTCAGTTCCTGATTTTCCCATTACAAGGAGGTTAGTTCTCTAACTTGTTTGTCCCTGATCTGGTTACTCAAGAAGAGACACTTGCTAAATATTTTATATTCTGCTTTTGTTGCCGATTGTAGGGACCAGGTTGACCCTAAATTTATTGTTTGTATAATGTACATGCATATATAGGAAGTCCATACTTACCCATATTTTAAAGCAAGGTTAACTGGATTTGCTATTGCAGGCTTGCTCTTTGCCGTGAATGGAAAGCCTCATTTTGGGAATCAGGAACCCATACAAGGATTTGTGATGAACTTTTCCAATGGGGAAATTATAGACGTCTTCAGGCCAGTGCGCAAGGTATTTACATACCTTATCTAGGTTTCAATTTTCATGAGAATAAAACTAAAATATAAATCTTGGCGTTCAATCTTGAATAGTTTTTTTAAAACTTTTAAGAAGATGTGATAACTTTCTTAGCAAAGTTGATGGGAGTGTTCTATTATGACGTGTGATTTAGAATTATTGTCCTTGGCTATTCCTAGATCAGTTTCTTCAGATACAAATTAACACCTTGTGCAGTTCTAAGGTTCTTAGTATACGTTGCATATGATGGCAGGTTTTTAAACTCATTGTAGTTAGAATACAAAAAATAAATCAGTCTCTTTCTAGTTTTATCCAAGTAGAGAAAATATCACAACATGTTTAAGTGTACTCTTATAGTTCTCTTAGGCCCAATAGAAATCTTATTTGCTTTCTTTATTGCTATGACTGTACTAAGCAACAAGACTTGAAAATAGCACTTCCTGGAATTTATTCAAGTTCTAAAGATTTGGTTTAGTTAAGAAACCAAAAGCTACTTTTGGCTTCAAAAGTGTTTTGCCACTGTTTATTCTAATGTTCTTTTTATAAACACAGTAACTGTGTTCAGTGTGCCCATGGCCCTTCTGTCTTCTCAGTGTACTTGGCAGTATGATTGCCAGAGTGATCAGAATGTTCTCAAACACTGTATGAATGTGCTTGGAGTATATCAGATTTAGAAAACTCAGTCTCTAAAATGCTGCAAATAAGTGTTCTTCTTCAAAACATGTAAATTTCATTGTTAACTGGATCAAAGTACAACTATCCTCAGCTACTGAACCAAGTTTATATCTTGATACTTATAATGTTATATTATTTTTAAGATACCAGATTTGGTAATTTAAAAAACTTTTAAATGCCTCAATATTATATGTTATTTTTAATTAATTTTTATTTGTAATTTGTGTGGTTACAAGGTACTTGTGTATATTTATGGGGTACATGAGATATTTTAGTACAGTTATGCCATGGGTAATAATCACATCATAGAAAATTGGGTATCCATTCCCTCAAGCATTTATCCTTTGTGTTACAACAATCTAATTATACTCTTTCAGTTATTTTAAAATATACAATTAAATTATTGTTGAGTATAGTCCTACTGTTGTGCTATCAAATACTAGGTCTTACTCATTCTATCTGATTTTTTTTGTCTCCATTAACCATCCCCACCTACTCCCCCCACCTCCCCGCCCCCACAACACACACACACACACACACACACACACACACACACACACACACTGCCCAATACCCTTCCCGGGCTCTGGTAATCATCATTCTGTTATATATATCTATGAGTTCAATTGTTTTGATTTTTACATCCCACACATGAGTGAGAACATGTGATGTTTGTCTTTCTGTGCCCGGCTTATTTCACTTATCATGTTTGTTCTCCACTTCCATCCATGTTATTGCAAATGACAGAATCTCATTCTTTTTGTGGTTGAATAGTATTCCATTGTGTATATGTAACACGTTTTCTCTATCTATTCATCTGTTGATGGACACTTAGGTTGCTTCCAAATCTTGGCTATTGTGAACAATGCTGCAACAAATGTGGAAATACAGATAGCTCTTTGATATACTGATTTCTTTCCCTTTGGACATATAACCAGCAATGGGATCCCTGGATTGTATGGTAGCTCTGCTTTTAGTTTCTTGAGGAACCTCCAAACTGTTCTATGTAGTTTTACTAATTTACATTTTCTCCACATCCTCACCAGCATTTGATATCACCTGACTTTTGAATGAAAGTCATTTTAACTGGGGTTAGATGACATTTCATTGTAGTTTCGATTTGCATTTCTCTGATGATCAGTGATGTTTAGCACTTCTCCATGTGTCTGTTTCACACTTGTATGTCTTTTTTTGAGAAATGTCTATTCAAATCTTTTGCCTATTTTTTAATTTAATTATTAGATTTTTTCCTATAGAGTTGTTTGAGCTCTTCATATATTCTAGTTATTAATCCCTTGTTAGAAGGTAGTTTGCAATTATATTCTCTCATTCTGTGAGTTGCCTCTTCACGTGATTCATTGTTTCCTTTGCTGTGCAGACGATTTTTAGTTTCATATGATCCCATCTGTTGATTTTTGCTTTGGCTGCCTGTGCTTGTGGGGTATTCCAGTATCAGTTCCTTTCTTTAGGTTTCTATTTATATAAACATATAAGATTTTAAAAAAATATTTCACCAGAAAAGCAGTAGGCAATGAAATTTCAAAGCATAATAGCCCTGTAGAAAGAAATTTATTATACTGATAATAAACATTTTATTTCTGTATTGTTTTAGACCCTTATTGATTATCCAGTCTTCATTGTTGTGCCCCTTTGAGCTAACTTCCTCATATCTGTTGGTAAAGGAAGTGAGATACTTACCTTTCTTTCAGTTCTTTACTTTCTATTAGTGGAGTGTTTGCCTTGCTCATTCTTTTAATAATAATGTACTGTGTCAACCAGGATATTAACTTTCAATTCAAATATGCATCTAGAAATCAAAACTAAGTGCTAAGCAAGAGGCTAAATGAGCCTGAACCTCATAATAATCTGAAGAGTTCTCAATTAAAATTTCAAAAGCATTGTGCTTTCATCAGATATTAAGCAAAGAATAAGTCACAATATGTGGGTCAATTCAGCAAATGTGAAAAGACAGTCTAACTCCAAGATGAAGTTTGCTTTTCCTTTCAGTAAACAAGACTTGATATTACACCAAAACATAGAAATGTATCCTGTGTTGACTCAGTAAACTGAAATCAGTTTATAAATCTCTCAGAATTTTTATAAATTAGATTATTATCACAAAGACTGAGTTTGGGTGAAGGAAATAATATAGCACTTTGACTCCTGTGTAAAAAGGGATTCCTCTTCAAGTCAAAGGTCAAGTTTTACATAAAGGGGCTGTGCTTCTGTTCGTGCATAGCTACTACTTATCTCCTCATATTTCAGTTCTCTATCTTCTACTATTACATTCTTTAGAGATGCTCCATCTGAATGTAGGAACTCTGTCTTTATGTCTATGCAGGGAAGCTTAGACAGTAGGACAATAAAGAAAATGGTTTTATCAAATGTTATCAAAAAGGCTATGAAAGAAAAATACACATTGTTACTCCCAAAGTTATTCCCCTGTAATCAAAGGACAGACTTGTGGTCCCTCTTTATCTGCTTTTCCACACACCCTTCAGACAGGCATTTTTTGACATCTTCTGTATGGCAGCTCATATGAAAAAGGAAGAGAATTATCCCCATCCTTCCATACAAAAAGAAAAAAAGTGAGCCCATATTTAAGCCGTTTTTCCAACCTTCACAATGGTGATTAAAATGACAGTATTTGAGCTGAAAGGTTCACCTAAGTTAAATTGCTTCTTCAAGCTATATTAGAGTAGCATGCATGGATCTCAAACCTAGCTCGTTCTGACTTTGAAATGTGCTTAACCTTTTTATTCCTGAAGTACACACTGATATGCCAAGGGCTATATTAAACCACAACATAAACATTGTGCAACTTAGAAGAACTGTCTTTCTTAATATTAAGTAGATTTCAACTTACTATGTTGAAGCAAATTATGCTGTGGAGTAGAACACACATTTCCTTATGAATTTTTTAAATAAAATACAAGATTTTGAAGGCAGCTTGCTCCAGGCTTTGTCACCAGATGCCTGGTGAAGATGCTATCAAGCTTTTCTCACATCCATTTTATTTTGCTAGGGGGTACCTCAAAAGAAGAGTTTGCAAAGGCTAGATTAGAAGATCTTTAAATCTGTGTAAGTCTAAAATACTAAAACTTGATCCTAAAATTTAACAACATAATTTTGTTTCAAATGACACAAAGCAGTAGAACATTTCATTGAAACGATTACAACTGAGTGCTTCTGATTGCAACAAGATAGAGACCCACCTACTAAGCCTCCCCCTGAGTTCCTATAGTGGCCCCAGAGTACTGTATTTCTAGCAGAACACTTGGCTCCTGGATCAGATTGAGAGCCACTAATAAAGGTTTATTATTATTTTAGCCTTGAATTTATGACATACTGTGATTTATTTAAAGCAAAGTTCTTAGTTCTTAGCCAGTGAATAGTTGACACATTCCCTCCTCACCTTTATCCCTCCATCATTATATTTTTCCTATCAGAAATACAAAGTATTCTACAACCATATGTTTTACAAAACAATTTCTAAGAACATATTCTGGTATACAACAGGAGTGGCCTATAATTTGGTAGTCTTTTGCCATCCATTAGCTGAGCCCCCCAAAAAGATGAACATTTAATGACAAGCCTGTGAAATTTCAGCAGGGCAGCATTTTGATTTCTGGCTCTCTGTTTTTCTCTACACATTTGTCACAGCTCATTTGAAAGTATGGAAAAATAAGCCTTCTTGGCATGGCTATCTCATTTTTCTTTTCAGTGTGATAAACTTGATGATTTCTAAAACACAATAGTATCTCCAGAGCATGTATTCTTCTGCCCCTCCTAAACTGAGCTAGGAACAGTAGTTTGTCTCATTAGTAACCTTTGGACTCAGCACATCAGAATAGGCAGATGTTGGCTGATGACCCCACAGTCTGGATACTCACTAGTCATATTTTTGATACCTGTGTATCCAAGCAGGCCTTCTGTCCTCAAAGGTGAAAGAAGTTATCTATATTATGCCAACTGGCAGACCCAGGGCACCTTTAGAGGCATCCAAAGACAGATGGAAATGTCAGCAGCACAACATTTTAAGGCTACTCTTCCAAGAACTAGTTTGGTGACCCTGAAAGAAAGTCATAAAAGGATCTCCCCTGTCTCTTGTGTCCTCATGATGGAGATGACAATGATTTGAAACAGAGAAAGGCATATTAAAATACAGAGAATCTGAATTAGGTACAATAGTCCAGGAAGTACTTGGAGATAACACTCAATTTGTTTCCTTTGATGACTGAAAACATCACAAACATAAGACTTCAAGAGTATAAAACCTCACATTATTCCATATCTTAGTGTACATTTCAAAAATTAAATGTTCTGAATCTCTGAAATGATTGCTTATCAATAATAAATAGATACTTTTTAAGGTAGTACATATTAGCCTGATAGGAATAATAAAAATTAATGCCTAGTGTTCTTGACTTGTATGAATTAAAACAAGTAAATTTGATAGTTATTTAAAGGTAGAAGAAACATGAAGGCCAAAATCAATATAAATAACTAGACAGATAATGCAACACTAAAGTAAACAGTATTGTAAAAAATAATCTACCCGTAAATTTTCACACTCAAAAGACTTGAAAGTCAGTGGTGGGGGTTCCTTAGCATTTCCCAGTGCTTAGCATTATGCCTGGCAGAGTCAGTACCCAATGAATGAATGAATGAATGAATGACTCCCTTCAGCCTAGAGTTGCTTCAATAGGAATTATTTTTGCTTTGGTTTGAGTAACATGTTCCGTTGATTGGTTTTGGGCTTTGCTTTGTTTTTCTGCCTTTTCATGAAGGATTCAAGTAAAGGCTCACCACTCTAACGTGTGGCTTCTTGTTTTGGCAGCACTTTGACATGCCTCATGATATTGTTGCATCTGAAGATGGGACTGTGTACATTGGAGATGCTCATGCCAACACTGTGTGGAAGTTCACCTTGACTGAGAGTATGGTGTTCACAGTATTATTGTTCACATTTTCCCTCAGTTTGATTGCTTAAAAGCATATAAAGCAAAAACATTTACATTTCCTTCTCTTTTTACTGATGCGAGTAGAAATCAAGGTATAAGGCAGTTGTTAAAAGATCTATTTGGTGTCCATTAAGTGGAAAGAAATATCATTTTTTTGCTGGCACTCATCCCCTTGTTTCCACAGATATTCCACAGGAAATTCTTGATGCCTGAAACACTGTCTGTTATATTAAAAGTCAATGTTAATTCCAGCTTAGCTCCAGAAGAAGGGAGGGGGCTTTGGCAAAACAGAGGGGCTGACTTCTTTCCATAAGGCATCACTCCCCATATGGCCCTTTAGCTCTCAGTAGCTGCTGAGCATCTAGAGATAGCAGCATCTGTGTGAGACATATTATCCCAAAAAGGAAGCACTTTGAATTTTCCACTCGGACCTCAGCTCTCCCAAAGAACCGAATTGCTATATTATATGTAATTTTGTCTGGGTATAGTTTTGCTCCATCAGGATCCTGTCACCTAGTTTTGGAGTTTTTCTAATTGCAATTTGGACGTCATTTTTAATCCCTAAAAAGTATACTAACTTTTAACCCCTAATATCATGCTAAAAAAATAATTGTTTTAAATTGAAGTGTACCAAATGTCTGCTAGGACACAAACTTGAATGTCGAGAGATACTTTTAAAACATGTCAGGGCCCAAATACGAGAAGGTGAGAGCAAGGCAAATAATTGAGGATGATAGATTGGAGATATCAGGAGCTGCAACAGGTAGTTTTAGGCAACGACAAAAAAAGATATGTAAACTTGATAAAAACATTAATTATAAAAAGAAAAACAAATTATAAAAAGGCAAGAAAACAAATTACAACAGTAAAATCCAGAGTTCAAACACATAATCAGATGTCATACAGGTCTTGAATCTCAATTAATTTGGTAACTTTGTAGTCAGAACCATCCTTTGCAATTGTGTAAAAAGAACCAAGTTTGGGTTGAGTGAGCAGAGATGCCCATGGACTCTGCCACTCCAGCAGTAGCTTCACATTTCCCTTGCAAATGTGTCTTTCACCACCTGAATTGTCAAAGAGGATCCAGAAGGTATGGGCAGACAAGAAGGCATACATGGATGGATAACCCCCAACTGAATGACTAAACTGAGGATTTTCAGAACAAAAACAAATGCATAAATACTTTTAAAGTTGGAGAAGACTTCGGAAGAGAATATCTAGCCAATATCTTAATTTTATGGATAGGAATATTATGCCTGAACTCATTAAGATTTCAACTTGAGACCCTTTACACCAGTGAACCCCAACCTTTTTGGGATTAAGGGACCAGTTTCATAGAAGAAAATTTTTCCACAGACCATGAGCAGAGGGAATGCTTTTGGTATGAAACTGTTCCACAAGGAGCACACAACCTAGATCCCTTGCATATGCAGTTCACAAAAGGGTTCAGGCTCCAATGAGAATCTAATGCCATCACTGATTTGACAGGAGGCAGAGCTCAGGTGGTTATACTCACCTGCCTCTCACCTCCTGCTGTGCATTCTGGTTCCTAACAGGCCACAAGCTGGGGTTTGCGGACCCCTGCTTTATACCACCCTAGTGGTTTGATACTCAGAAGATGCATGTCTGAGTTACCTGGGTGGAAATGTCACAATACACATGGCTAGTCCCCAAGTCCCCACTCAGGATCTGTAGAAAGAAGAGGAATAATATTATGTGTATTTCAGAAAGTTCTCCCAAGTGACTTTGGTACATCTCCTGATGGAAAAGTACTGCAATATGGCATTCAGCTTCAAAATAGAGATACCCTCTGCATAGAGCAGAGTGCAGTGAATCTGGAAAATAGTACCTCTCAAACAGTAAGACTGCCACTGAAGACTAAATCGATGTTTCATTTATTTGCATCCTTGTAGTTAATTGGTCAAATCCATTAACATCAACTAGAAGACTGGTAACCCAACATGGTAGAACTAGTAATCAGTCTGAGATATTGCCAACATGAAAACAGAACCACTTAGTCTTTCAGAAATAATAAAATATTATGAACTCCACAAGAAAAACTCATTCTAAATATGAAGTCCTTATTTAGCTTTCCCTAGGAGAGTTTATCCAGGATTCATGGACCACCTAATTAGTGGTTTGTATTGAACTCTTTCCTAATATAATAATGCATTTGATGAATTAAGGAAATATTTTCTACTGAGCAAAATTAATATCAAAGTTAAATTTTCAAATGTTCTTTTTGGGGATTCTGACTTTTCTCTCTCCTTGCTGTGCTGTTACAGAAATGGAACATCGATCAGTTAAAAAGGCTGGCATTGAGGTCCAGGAAATCAAAGGTTGGTCAGATTCCTCTTATTACTGTAAAACCAAAGTCTAGCTGTTTTGAATTATTTTATGGCCTTTGATTGCAACTTTAAAAATTACCAGGCTAAAAATATAATCTGGTAAATTATCCATGACTTCTGCTACGTACTGAGCCTTTAAACCTGTATGTTGCCACTTCTCTTTTTTTGATAAATGGAGCAGTCATAATGAGTTCAAATTACTGATTTCATGTGATGGAAACTGATTGACGATATAAGAAATCTGTAACTCGTGAGCCAGAGATATTCAGAAAAGAAAAAAAGTCAGCCACTTTGGGGAGTACATTAACCTCAAGCAAGTAGAAAAACACACTTTGGCATACTGGAAAAGCCTTTCCTTAATAGGCCCTAATATAAAGGAGTAAAAAATATCTTTGGTGGGTCAGTGCTATAATGGTATGAAAAGATTAGCTGTTTCTTTAGCTTCTATCTTAGTACCATTCAGCTCCCGAGATTTACTGAGGGTCTTTTGTGTGTAAGGCACTATAGCAGGTCTAAGGGAAATCAGACTGCACCTGACCTTATAGCCGTATAAGAAAAGAGGGGGAAGTTACATACATATACATATATACAAATAACTATATCACTGGTATATAATATCAGGACTAAGGAAATGAGATTTAGCTATTGATAAGCAACCACTGGATTTATATGGAGTCCATGTCAACTTATTTTATCTCTTTCCTAGAATCAGTTATGTTTTTACATTTCTAACATCTGCAAGGTTTTGACATGTACATATCATTTACAGTTAAGGACTCACCATGAGTTTCTCATGTTACCTAATATTTAAGTAACAAGGTATTCCATTATTAGTTGCTTTACAAATGATTTACTTAGATATTCAGATAGAACCCTAGGCTTACTTGTTTTCTTTTCTTATCAAAGCAGCTGGAAAAAAGATGAAAGAAGCAACAGCAAGGGGGAGTTTAAGGATTTTATGTAGGCAGATAAGAAAATATAGCCAGCCCAATGGGCAGTATAATATTATAAAATAAATAGCAATTGTTTGGCATTTGTAGAGATTCTATCCAAGTGACACTACTAAGTGGCATTCATGTCACACTCATACACTAAGGACAGTTCCTGATCTTCTAGTTGTAGGTCTTTGCTATATGTAGAATTATTGATAAGTTCTGTTTGTCCTGGAATAAAGATGTTAGGAAAGATGATATTGTTAATGATAGCTATCACTTACAGAGCAGAAACAATGGGCTATACAGAAATTATAAATTTAATCCTTATACCAACAATGTGATAACTGCTATTTTCCCCATTTTACGTATGAGGAAATTGAGGATCAGAATTACTATTAATATAGTAAGTGTTAGAGTTAAGTTTTAAACCAAAATCTGTCTGGTCCCAAAGCCTGCACTCTTAACCACTATTACTGTACTGCTGAGGAGAGACCAATACCTCCAATTCATTCCCGATAAATTCTTTCAAGAGCTACAGGTTGGGAATGGGTATAGTTTACTCTGAAACATCTAGAATTTTAAAATAGTCTCAAATCTTTTCTATTTAAATAGATCTCACAAAAAAATTCTAGGTGGTACTGGTTGGCCTATTGAGAACAGCTTAGCCATACTGACCACATCTTAGCTGGTCAATTAAGGATAAATAATGCTGGCATGCCGGCCATTTCCTCTCGCCTCTGTGCACACCACTGAGTCCAATTGATCAGAAACCTTCCGGCGCTGTAGTCAAACCAAGCAGTTCAAACAGTACATTTTATTGAAATGTCTTGCCTTGACAGTCCAGTTTTAATAGTTAACCAAACTCAAATGAAGTTGTCTCTTCTTCTTTGAAACCCATATGACTCTCATTAAACCTTTTTTTTTTGAGATTATATTCTTATTACAAAGGGAATGTAAATCATGCTGTATCTCTAGATCCTTATGTTTTATCAATATCTGGAAGCTCAATTCAAACCATCCATTATAAAAGCGAAGGGAAAACACAATTTCAGACGTAATCATCTTGTAGTTGCATGTTAATTTTAAATCCCCAAATTTGAGTTGCCTTTGATAACACTTGTCCCTACTATGAATGGTTGTATAACTAATTACTAATAAGAAGATTTTAGAGCCAGTGTTCTAAGGAAGTTGTAAGGATGAGATAATTTGAGATGATTAAAAAACGAGCGAAAAGGATTTAAATTTTCAAATAGTTACTAGAGATAAAAGAAGTATATCAATATCTCACCAAAGCATAGCTCTCACACCCAAACCCACCCCCCAGTTAAAGATGATAATGGCCAATCATTTTCAATAAAACTTTTTAAAAAGAAAAAAACCTCCTTAGTGCAGTTAGCTTCTTAGGCTTTGTGGTAAGCAACACATTGTAAGGAAGCACATACACATTTAAGAAAAAAATATCTCATTGGTGCTATATGCCCTTTTCACGTCTCCTAACCAGTTACTTCCTAGTATGCCATTGGCCTTCAGCCTTCAGTTCTGTCTGTGATGAACTGGGAAACAATTGGGGTACTGCTGTAGTAAGACTGTCCCTCCCTTCCTGTCCCAGTTATTCCAATTTCAAGTGGTCTCTAGACTTCTATTAGGGGGAGAGATATTTGCACATTCATGTATATATGTGCACTTACACAGGAATGCAGCTAGCCTCCCTTTCTAAATGCATTGCTTTAAAGAAGAAGAAAATAGCTGTCCTACATCAGCTTTTAGAAAACTTAGATATTTCCAGATATCTATAGAGCTTCTACCAGGGCTTGCATTCTTATAAGATTTTATGTCATGTTTATTCTACCTAGAATACAAGTGGCATCTTATATGACAGAAAAATGGTCATTCTAGGTGCCTCCTATTTTCCAGAAACCTAGTGTTCTGGCTAATCTTAGAGCTTCTTCACTCTTCATTCATCATGGATGCTCCAAATTACTCAGATTTTTAATAAAATAATTTAGTATAAAGAGTGAAAGTGGCAGAATTTGGATGATTCTTCATGCTTTCAGTGGGATTCTTAGACTCCTGAATTATAATTATTGTTTTAGGGATTTTACCCCACATATAAGTGCTTTTGTGAAGAGCAGAAATATTGTTATTTTTTTTCCTTTAGAATGGAACATTTTAAATGTTTAGGCTTTTAAGAAAAATAGAAAGCATCTTTTAAATCTTAAATATATTCCAGCTGGTTCCAAAAGTTAGAATGTTCAAGTATTTTTAGTAGATAACACTCAAAATATCATAAGTGATGTGAAAATCAAGAATTTCTAAAGTGCTGTGTATGTATTCTATCTTAGCAAGTTGATTGCCTCATTCTCATTCCTTTCTATGAATACTAAACTCATTCTTCTAGTCTTTCACCTATAGCATCCATAGTTGCTTCCATTTAATGGTGCCCAATTCTGGTTCTGCCTTATTCATAAAAAGATATGAGCTGGTATAGCCATTGTATATTAGGTGCAGATAAACTTAATAAATGACAGGCAGAAAATGCTGGGTAACTACTCTGGTAATACCCACCTTCAAACAGAAACAAATCTTTCTTCCAAAAGGAGCAAGGTCTTCAATGTCAACCAACATCTTTGGCCTAGGTTTTTTAATTCCATGATCTATTTATTGCAATTTTCTTATTTAAATTTAGAATAAGTTTAAATCTAGAGCAATTTTGTATATCTTTCCTATAGTAACCAAAAAAAAAAAAGACAAAATAATTATTAGTGCTCAGAAAGAGTAGAAATCACACCTGTATTCCCCTCAGAAACTAGACATAGAAGTTCTGTTTGAACCATCTCGAGATCTATGAACCAACTCCTTTGCTTCTCTCCCTTTCAAGTTTCAAGAGTCACACGAGTGATGTGGCACATATACACCATGGAATATTATGCATCCATAAAAAATGATGAGTTCGTGTCCTTCATAGGGACATGGATGAACCTGGAAACCATCATTCTCAGCAAACTGACACAAGAGCAGAAAATCAAACACCGCATGTTCTCACTTATAGGCGGGTGTTGAACAATGAGAACACATGGGCACAGGGTGGGGAGCACTACACACTGGGGTCTGTTGGGGGGAAATAGGGGAGGGACAGCGGGGGGAGGGGAGTTGGGGAGAGATACCATGGGGAGAAGTGCTAGATGTGGGTGATGGGGAGGAAGGCAGCAGATCACACTGCCACGTGTGTACCTATGCAACAATCTTGCATGTTCTTCACATGTACCCCAAAACCCGAAATGCAATAAAATAAAAAAATTTTAAAAATAAAAATAAATTTAAAAAAAAAGAGTCACATGAGTGGACAAAAGAAATCAAAGGATGGTCTCCCTTTAGCCATAGTACAGGGAAGGAAAGGAGAACTATGAGTTCATCTACAAAATGGCAATGATAGTAATAGTGCCTACTCATAGGCTTGGTGTGATGACGAAAGGAAAATGATGCCTGACATGGTGTAAGTACTCAATAGATGTCATTGGGACTATAAAAGAGGCTGCCTCAGAACATGGAAGCAAAAAGTTGGAACCTGCCATCTGTTTGTATTATAAATTATGTTGGCAGTGTCTCAAATAATTTGGGAAACATTTCCTTAGAGGAGTGTCCAGCAAGCTACTAAGCTGAGTCTATACCTATTAAACATTAACCAACGATTTTCCCGATTGTGTTATCCCTACCATTTTGTCAAAATCTCCCTGAGGCCTTACAATGCATTCTGTATCATAGGGCAGAAGGGCATACCAAGAAGTTGAAATTTCAGAAATGTATGATCTGTGAGTCTTCCTGCAAATGTGGTTGCACCTATTAGTCTGGGAAAATTCTTACCAGCCTTTGTACATTAGAGTTTCTCTACAAACACACATATGTGCTTCTTGTAGGGCAAGGATGTTTCAAGGCTCAACCTCATTTTCATGTCATTAGTTATTAAGATCACTGCAGCAGCTTATATAGTTTCATTGCATCCATTTCCCAAATAGTACTTTAGGCTCGATACCTACCCAGTATCTGCCAATGTTACAGAATAGTTGTAGTTATTATAATTGTTGTAAGTTCTTTTCATCACTAACAAAAGTATATACAGTTCATCTGTCTATACTCACATTTTGCTGAAAACAATATAAAAGGGCCTGAAAAGGACATAATTTCGTTTTTCTTTTATAATCCTAGTATCAATGTGTGCAGCTATACATGTGATATACCAAAAATCAATTGAACATGAAAAATATTTTTAAATTAAAGATACAAGGAAACAAACACTTTTGTTTTGTTTGTTAAATACAAGGAAACATACATTTTTATGACAGGCATTTACATCCGACAGTTATATGAAAGAGGTCCTATTACTACAGTTTTGTAGATGAAGTTACTATGGCCCAGATAATTTAAGTAACTTGCCCAAAGTTATACAGCTAGTATACAGGAGAATTGAGATTTGCGCCCAGGTTTGTTTGATTCCAGTATGTACTCCAGTTCTTTCCCCTACACAGTACTGCCTTGTTAATTTTACCTTTGGAAAAATACAAAAGGATATATGTTCTGTGAAATTATAGCTAAAGAGCATATTAAAGGTAGAACAAAGGAAAAGAATTTGGAGATGAAAACCCATTCAGCGGAAATAACTAATCACAATGCCTGCTGCTAGCTTGATTGATTCAGATATTGAAACATGAACCCCATGTACACTAGAGTCAACAAGTTCTTTGTGAACAGTTATTGATTTGACTGGGTAGGGGTGGGTAAGAGGGTTTTGAAATCTTTGAGTCAGTTGAATATTGTGAACTCTTCTTTCCCTGAAGAAGCCGAGGCAGTTGTTGAAAGCAAAATGGAGAACAAACCCACCTCCTCAGAATTGCAGAAGATGCAAGAGAAACAGAAACTGATCAAAGAGCCAGGCTCGGGAGTGCCCGTTGTTCTCATTACAACCCTTCTGGTTATTCCAGTGGTTTTCCTGCTGGCCATTGCCATATTTATTCGGTGGAAAAAATCAAGGACCTTTGGAGGCAAGTAAAATGAGCCCCGTGAACTTGGAACCTACCTTTGAAAGAATGTTTGGCCTAATTATCCTCAGGAGTTTGCTTGAGATTTTTTTTCACTGTCTTTGTTTTTTTTTTGGTTTTTGTTTGTTTGTTTGTTTTTAATGCTCTCTACTATTTTTGATGTTATTTGTCTGTGTTCCAACTATTGCCCCTAGTTGACATTACAATAAAAAATATTATCTGGAGACTATGAAATTTGGATAGATTAAAATATAGCCTTTAATACTACCTTTTAGCAATTGCCTTAAGCCCAATTAATATCTCCATATGAAATTGTAGGTAGTAGAGTCAGTACAAATTAGCTGAAGGGTCAGAGAGGAGGAGATATCTGCTGTTAGGAAGAGGTGCAGTCCTGAAAGTACCTGGGTCAGATTTTGGGCTTGCGTTTTTCTCCCATTAGGCTGGCTCTAGCTCCTAGCTACATGACCATGGGCAAGTTACTTAACCTCTCCAGACCAGTTTCCTCATAAAAATAAAGTGAGGATAAAATAGTTACCTTACAAGGTTGTATAAAGATTAGATGAAATAATGTACATAAGCATTTTTCAGGATACCTGGAACCTAGTAAGTACTTAATTAATACCACCAATGATTATGATGAATAATCATTGGTAATAAAGTAATAAAAGGCATAAGAAGTTATTTTAAAACTTGCCTTAAACCTTAGTTTTCTCAGAAAATTAATTATTTCTGTAACAAACCATTTGGTGGTTTTTGAATTGTCATAATTTAGACCATCAGCCTTTCATAACTGAACAAGGCAGAGTCCAATTCCGGAGTTAGTATTTTATGAAATCTTATCACAATACAGGATCCAACAGCTGAGTTTATTTTAGGACATCCAAATAAATAAACAAATAACCCAACCCACGCTTCTTACCTCTCAATAGCAGTCCCTTGGCTGGGCCCCCAGGTCCTAGAGCAAGAGCCTATAGCTGTGTGTGGGAAGAAATCCATGGACCAGGGAGAGAGGCAGCATTTGATCAGAAAATAGCATCTGATCCTATTTCAGGTCAGGGCAGCCATGGCAGGGATTCAGTGCTCCTGGCAAAGCCCTGACACAGAAAAAGGCATGGAAACAGAAAACAGAAAATTTAATAAGTTGTAAAAGGGAATTTTTCTTGGTCTTTCTTTTGCTTTCCATCTGCCATCAATAAATCTCTGCAAAAATATAGTTAAATCCTCCCAAAAAGGACTTCTATTGAGTCCATGTTACAGATCTGGAACTGTCATAAGTGGGGACAAAGAGAAATAAACATAGTCATTGTCTTCATGGGGTTAGATAGATGCTTCAAAAGAGCAAGGATCCATATCTTAATTACTGATATGTCCCCAGCACAAATAATAATTCCTGATACTAGTGGTTTAATAAATAGTTGTTGAAAGAATGAATGGATAAATCAATGGAGCTTACAGAATAGATAACATATGAAAGAGACACTAAACAAAAAATGTTATAGTAGAGGGTGGTAAGTGCAGGGATAAATACACAGAGTAGTAGGAACAGTAAGACTTCGGGGCAGGTGACAGGAATGGTGGTAACCAACCCAACCTGGCAGAAGCAGTGGCTATGGAATCAGGAAGGTTTGGTCTCTCCTGTTGGTTATTAAGCACAAGTGACATCGCACTATTACATCATGCTGACTTTACAGGAATGTGCTAGGAAGATAGAGACCCAGGCTGAACCATAAAAAATCGCTATTATTTGACCGTGTTTTATTTAGAAAAATTGCAGTTTCATTTGGCTCCATCTAATACATTTAATTCTAAAAGTAGATCAGCTTCTCACTTTTTTCTAAATTTGTTCTTGATTGATCTTATCCAGTTTATTTTAAGGTTATTAAAACCCCTAATAAAGGACCTTCCATTTATTCAACATTCCTTATTATGTATTGACTCCATATCAAATACTGTGCCAAGCACAGGGGATACAAAACTAAGTAATGTCCCTCATATTTGCAGAACTTACGATCTAATTTGTTGGCTTTCTAACAGTCTTACCAGATTCTTCTTCCCTTGTTGAATATTTCTTTCCACATCACTGTCTTCTCCCTCTCCTCTCATCGCCACTATCTTTTACCATGATGCTGCCTTCAGTGCTGGCTAAAGACCTAACAGGACAACCCCAGGCCTGACCTTCCTGACCATAGCCCATGAGGGAGTGATGACGCAAGGGAAAGCATGCAGGGAGACACACACAGCAAGGGAAAAATGAAACCCATTGGGAGTCCTGCCTTCCCACAAGCAGTCTATCCTTTATGGAGATAGGCAGCCCTATTGGGAACATTTAGGTCACCTGCTATGCTTGGAAAATACTCAGGGTATCACATCCTTTCCCTTTACTTATGTCTTACATAAAGAAGAAATGATACACATGGATCCAAAGCTTTCTCAAGCAGGACATGTACTGTTTGTAGAAAGAGCAAAGCTGGAGGCAAATATTACTAAATTGTAATAACCAAAGGTTCAAAAGCTTTACAAATTATTGGTAATAATTCTTACCTGACAAAAAAAGAGCTATGATTTATTGAGCATTTACTGTATATTTACAGATACTGTTCTAAATGTGTCACATGCAGTGTCTAATCTCAGCCTTCAGACAGATAGGGATTCTCCTTGACCTTTCTTTGCTCAGAGGAGAAAACTGAAGCTCATTTATCAAGATGACACAGCCAGTAAGAGACACGGGCAGGACTCAAACCCAGCTTGGGCCATTTATGTATGTCTCAAAAATATACCACCTTTCTTAAAAATTAGAATTGCATACAGACAAGAGCCAGGCATTGCTTTATTATTTACAAGTTCCTGATTTTAAGTTGGAAATTGAGTGCATGGGTTGAGGAAGATAATTGGGACCCATTTTGAAATGTGCCATCTTTTTTTAGCAGATTCTGAACACAAACTTGAGACAAGTTCAGGAAGAGTACTGGGAAGATTTAGAGGTATGCCTATGACCTTTTAGAATCCTTCATGTTTAGTTCAAAGTCAACAAGCACATGTCTTTTAAAAGGCAAGGAGATATTTCATATTTTGTCTTTGAAGATAAAACATCTTGTATGCAGCTTAGCATTCCCCAGAGTAAATGCAGAATGCACACCATAAACTAAACTGAAGTGCATGCGTCTGGCAGCAGATTTCCCAGTTTTATATTTCCCATTTTGCCATTCTGTATTATCTAATTATCTTCCCCTGCCTTTTACCTGGCTTCATTTGTCTTCAGTAAATTTTCTGTCACTCATGTTGGCATGTCAATGTTTGTCATGGTGAAGATGACCTTTTCATAAAGTCATTGAAATAAGGCACTGCTCCAGGGAGGCTGGTTCTGGACAGAGAGCTGGAGCAAAGCAGGAGGTGAAAGCGAATCTGATATATTCCTGCAGAAACACATAATACTCAAGAGCTTCGGTTTTTCTTTTTTTTTTTTTCTTTAATAGTAGTATCTGTATGGCTCTGTAGGGTAAGTCTCTCTGTCTGTTTTTCTATTTTATTTTTCAGAATAAATAAAATAATCTACCATTTTTCATCCACACCTTCTGACTTTGCTTACCATGTAATAATTTACAAGGAAACAGAATCATTGCTGCAAACATTACCCACTTCTATTATTGTTTGCTTTTTTTCAGGAAAGGGAAGTAAAGGTTTAAACCTTGGAAATTTCTTTGCAAGCCGTAAAGGCTACAGTCGAAAAGGGTTTGACCGCCTTAGTACCGAGGGCAGTGACCAAGAGAAAGAGGAGGATGACGGCAGTGAATCAGAAGAGGAGTATTCAGCACCTCTGCCCGCACCCGTACCTTCCTCCTCCTGAAAACCAGACTTTGATTTAGATTGAGTGAAATGTACCCAGAATGTCAGATTCCTTTCCCTTTAGCACGATTAAAGTTCTGTATATTTAATTGTAAACTGTACTAGTCAGTGTAGGACTGTACACACTTTATTTGCTTCATTTTGGTTAAGTTGGCTTCTGTTTCTAGTTGAGGAGTTTCCTAAAAGTTCATAACAGTGCCATTGTCTTTATATGAACATAGACTAGAGAAACAGTCCTCTTTTACCATCATAGTACTAATCTAGCTATGGAAGGTTTGCCCATTTACACTTTTGAGACTTTTGGTGGATGTAAATAACCCCATTCTTTGCTTGAACACAGTATTTTCCCAATAGCACTTTTCATTGCCAGTGTCTTTCTTTGGTGCCTTTCCTGTTCAGCATTCTCAGCCTGTGGCAGTAAAGAGAAACTTTGTGCTACATGACGACAAAGCTGCTAAATCTCCTATTTTTTTAAAATCACTAACATTATATTGCAATGAGGGAAATAAAAAAGTCTCTATTTAAATTGTTTTTTAAACTTTCTTTTTCAGTTGGTGTGTTTCTGGGATGTCTTATTTTTAGATGGTTACACTGTTAGAACACTATTTTCAGAATCTGAATGTAATTTGTGTAATAAAGTGTTTTCAGAGCATTAGCTGTCAGAGTGTATTTTGCAGTTTTTGCATATTTGCAGGTTTTGTATACAACTTTTTAATAATTACACAAACTCACAAATAATAGTGTCTTCAACCAAAAGAAATGTGTGTATTGTACAAAATTTAGAAGCTACTTTGTTATGTAGCCAATATAAATTAAAAAACAGCCTGAGTTTACATATGTAAAGTCAGGCTCTTTTAAAATCCAAAGGGGGTTTGTGCCTGTATGTCAATCAGAGGGTACATACTTTAATAAAAGGTGATCACAGCTAAGAGGAAACCTGTCTCAAATTACATATGCAAATGAGCCATCAGTAGTGATCACTATTAATAGTTTTCCTTTTAAAGGACAATTTCAGGCCAGATACAGTAGCTCGAGACTATAATCCGAGGACTTAGGGAGGTCAAGCAGAAGGATTGTTTGTGCCCAGAAATTCCAAGCTGCAGTGAACTATGATCAATCCACTGTACTCCAGCCTAGGCTACCGAGTGAGATCCTTTCTCTAAAATAAAATAAAATTCCCATATATCCATAGGAATATATTCATCTCTTACAGTGACTGCAGATTAGTTTTAAAACATCTTTTTCATAATTCATCAATGCAAGTTAGTAAGAATCAGATAATTTTCTATTTTAAAATGTTGGGAATCTAGAACTCTTTTTTTTTTTTTAATTCCAACTTGTTTTTCAGGCATCATAGTAGTTGGAATAATACAGATATAATTGACTAGTTGTAAAACACATGAGAGTACAAGAAGGGAAATTTGGAAGCAATAAGTCTGCTAGCGCATTACAGTCCTGTGCTAGCACTCCACCTTCATTCTGCCATCCTGGGTTAATTAAAGATGGTAGCCTAGAAAGGAATGAACGACACTGACTTCAAGCAATCTTTCCACTGATTATTCTTGGCTGAATTTTATTTACTGAGTCAGAGATTGCACTGCCTGGGAAATGCCCCAAGGAGTGAATTCTAGGCCTGGCCACGGTAGAATCACCGGCAGAATTTAAGAAGAAATTGTTGGGCACTCTTTCCAGCAATCTTTATTTAGTTGGCTTATAAGGGAATACAGGTATAGTTTATGTTTTTAAATTTGTCCAGGTATTTTCTGCCATCACAGTCAGAAACCATTGTCTTTGAGAATGGCTATTCTACCTTGCCAGTTACAATAAGTAGGTAGCTACATTTTCACATAAATTACAGTTTACAGATGTTTGGAGGAGGAAAACAGGATCTGAGGTGTTTTGATATGACTGTTAGCACCAAAATCTGAATGCCTTAATTGTTCAGTGTGTTAAATTGGATGATTAAAATGGCCATAATTGGCTTATTAAGAAAGCAAAGGGAAACAGCTGTGCTTTCATTTTTCTTAAAGTACCTAGAGAATATGATATAGGAGCATTAAAAGAGAAGCTTCTCATTCACTGAGTTGGCCCTGAATTATCATTTGCATAAAATCTTTTATTCTAAGTGTTCTTCTTTTGTTTATTAAATCAGCATATTATTTTTCAAAATTACCATGCGTCTTTTAACTCTCATCCAGATGTTGCATAAAATCAAATACTTAGGAAGCTGAATGACAATGAAATCCATAGACTTTGTATTAGGGCTTATTTCCCAGACTGTCACCTACATAGTACTCAAAGTTGATGTAGCCTATAGCAATACTCAAACTTTAATGTGGGTAAGAATCAACAGTGAGTACTTACTTTCAAAGTACTAACCTGTTCCCATTTCCACAGTTTCTGATTCACTACATTGGGTGGGTCCTAGAAATCTACACTTTTAAGCATTCCTGGTGATTTGAATTCAAGTATTCCATGGTTCATCTCCAAGAAACATAGTGCTACAGACAGTAGCTGAACCTTAAAACATTCTTGGACACAGAAAGTAATATTCTCAAAGATGTGGTATCTGTAGAGTGATGGTTAGGCCTAGAAGTCATCAACCCCAGTGCCTCGAACTCAAATCACATAAAGACCCCGATGCAAATTATCTTCAGGGCCAGAACTTAGCAGCAGCTTCTTTCTTTAGTCCCCTGATGCTCTTTATTCCACCAGGGGAAATAAGTTAGGTGCATGGAAAGGCCACTAGTGGCCTCCCTAGAACCTCCTTTTTATTTTTGAACCACATCTAAAAGTTAGAATAAGTAAATCTATTTGGTGTGTTTTTATTGCGTCATGATTTAATTAAAAGAACAATTACTGATGATGGTAAATGTGATTCCCCTTCAAGGCCTTAAAAATTTTGAAACACCAAAACACAAAGATGTCTATCACATATCCAAAGTACTGATATAAAAAAAGGACATGCATTTTTCTGGGTTTCAAAATTGACTATACACTGTACCATCATACAGAAAGGACATAACACCTAATTAACAAGTGCTCATATTCAGATATACCAAGATATAATACAAAATAGACAGGATCTTATAAAAAACAAGTATGACAATAGAACTCTTTTTGTTTCTGAACAAAAATGCAAACTCCTTTAAAATGAATGAGCCATATAAAACTTGCTATATTTGAGGACACTGTGCCAGTCCATTGTTAGCTTCTAGTCCTCGTTGTGGAAGGTGACAGCAGTCATGGCGATGTATGAGCAGATGAGAGCCAATGTGGGCAAGTTGCTCAAGGGTAACCACAGGTACAGTCCTGAGAACCTGGTCACCCTGGAGCACTATTTGGAGATGGAGGCCAACAAAAATGCCTATGATCTGGAAGCCAACCCGGCTGTGCTGAAGCTGTACTAGTCCAACCCAGTGTTTTTTCAGACCATAGTCATGCCCAGATCCATCTGAAAGCCCTCACCAACCTGCCACCTACCAACTTCACCCTGTAAGTAAGTACATGATTGGCCAGGCACATCAAGAATAGTGGCCATCCGACAGACTTTTATCCCAGGAAACTGCTGGAGACCTGCCATTTCCAGGCCTTCTGGCAAGTCCTGGATGAAGGCATGGACCACTTAGAAGGTATAAGTGGCTTTGAAGACTGTCCAAATGTTTATCTGCCCTGTCGTGGGTATGACTTACCAGCACATCAACTGCTGACTACTGGCCGAGATGCTCGGATATCTGTCGGACAGCCAGCTGAAGGCGTAGGTGAGAAAATAAAGCTGGAGTGCCTATGAGTCAGGGCAGATCTTCATCTGCAGCCAGGAAAAAAACATTAAGCCCAAGAACTTTGTGGAGGAGATAGACTTTGACAGTGTGTCCAGCATCGTGGCATCCTTCCAGTAACTGCAGGTGTTTAATAAAGATTTGTTGTCTTTAAAAAATACTGTCTTCTATTATACTATATAATTCTCCATGCCTTTAAAATATATATATTATCTAGGAAACTGATGGGTAAGTTGGGTCCTTTCTGATCCTGGTTCTAGCCTCAGACTCCTTTGCCTAATAATTTTACTTTCTTAGCAGGAGATTTCTCATGATAAAAACTCCCTGTTGTTGTGATTCTCTGCTTTATTTGGTAATTAATCTGTCCTCTATAATTGGAAGAGAGTGTCAAGCATGCATGTAGCTAGAACAACATAATTGCACTGGTTCTTACAACTCGCTTATACTTCTAGATAAGACAGTGCTATTCAATAGAATGGCCCAGTCTTAGCCATTCCATAAAGTTTGCAAAGAACACTGGGTTAAGGTCAGAAAAGATCTGAAATTTTGAGTTCTAGATTTGATTATTTCATATACCATTGTCTTAGGCTTCTTTAGTAATCACAAATAAATTGAAACATGTGTAAGAACTAAATATATTCTTGTTATAAATTATTATTAAGAATTACTGATATATAATACATGATGAAAATAATCAGGAATTAGCAATTTATCAATAAAAAGTATTATTACTGTTTGATTCATATAACTGAAAAGCCCAGGCCTGGCTAGATCTAGAGACTCAGATGGCACAAACAGGATTTGGCTTCCCTCTTAGCTTGGCTTTCTTTTATATAAGGTTTACCTTCATTCAGACTCTCCATAACTGTGGTAATGTCATAGGATCCAGCCTGGATCCCACACCTGCCAAGGGCCAGCAAGGCACAGAGGAGCAAGGGGTGTATAAGTGAGCAAGTATGGGGTCCAGCCACTGCACAGCCATGTATGCTGGCTATGGCAGGGCAGGTAGCTCTCAGTGCTGGCACGGGCCCTGGCTCCCTGTGAGGCTGCAGCTGGGCCAGATATACCCCAAGTGGCTGCCACTGTGGAACTGTACCTTAGTCCGTTTTGTGTTACTATAAAATAATACCTGAAGCTGGGTAATTTATACATGAAAGAGGTATATTTGGCTCATGGATCAGCAGGCTATACAAGAAGCATAGAACTGGCATCTGCATTTGGCGAGGGCCTCAGGCTGCTTCTGCTCATGGTGGAGGGTGAAGTAGAGTCAGCATATGCAGAGATCATATGGGGAAAGAGGAAGCAAGAGAGAGGGGAGAAGGTGTGAAGCTTCTTTTAACAGCCAGCTCTGGAGGGAAATAATAGACTGAGAACTCACCACAAGAGAGGGCGTTAATCTGTTCATGAGGGATCTGCCCCCGTGACCCAAACACTTCCTATTAGGTCCCACTTCTGACATTGGGGACCAAATTTCAATATGAAATTGGGTCGGAACAAACCATACCCAAACTACAGTAATGTGCCAATCCCAGAACCAGTCACTGACGCCAAGGAAAATGTGATGCTGGATTAGCCAAGCCTCCATGGAGCCAGGGGCAGAATTTCATTCCACAGTAACTACAATGATGGTGTGGCAAGATTGGTTTCCTGAAGAAAACAGGACACTACTGCTAGTTGAATAAGAGCAGATTCTATGGAGGAAAAAAAAGAGTGGATATTCACTACTGTTATATTGGATCTTAACTCTTAAACATAATAT